TGTAGTGGTGGATAGAATGTCTAACTGCAAGTTTCAAGCAGTAGTTCCAAGTAAGATGCCTTGATTATATCCAAATTATTTTTCAAGCATCAAAATTGCAGTCCTTTGAACTTTTACAATACCTTCTGTGAAATCCCCAAAGAGGCCTAGCTTGAAAGCACCTATGTGCACAATATCTAAAGACATAACGAAATGAAAATGCAAAATGAATATTGCACATTTAATACAGTAGTCTTGAAAATGAATGAAGGAAAGTTGTTGCAGTAGTCGCAGCAGTACAACTTAAAAGCCAATCAGTTAATGTGCAAAGAGAAGCCACTGTAGTCTTGTGCAAAGGCAGTTGCAAACCCAACACTGTGCTTTTCATGCTCAGCTATTAGATAAAGTACGCTTATATCTGCTGTTATACTGAAAAAACCATTATGAAAATGTAAGAGCCTGATCGGAAACCAAGAGATGTATTGCAAGTAGAGAAGTTTAAATTTTAGTAGGGGAAAAAAAAAGCATGTAACAAGTGTATCAGCAGACACTAAAATACACATTTTATTTTAATGTAATCTTGTGTTAGACCATGCAGGTTGACAGTGCAAATAAAGTACACATTCAGTGCAGTGGGGAGTGTAGTACTATCACAAATTCACACATGGTGTTTAACATGCTAAGGAAAATTACATGCATCGGGAACATACAGCAAGTTTCCATTTTGTTGTCAGCACCTTTCTTTTTTTTGCTATTGCCTGTGACATCCAATGCAAATCTATTCAAGTGAGCTTGCTAACTTGTGGAAGTGGAGATTACTTACAGTGCAAATCAAAATATATAACAAATTCACAATGTTGAACTAATCTAGTTTGACTAATTACAGTAGTGCACATATTGCATCATTTTTTAAGCCAGTAATTTCACAAGGCACACCAGCTTGGAAGAAATTTTGTAACTTGAACCAATTTTGAGATAAGTGCTATTAAAGTTCTTATAAAAAAAACGTACCATCTTTATTCGAATTTAGGCCGATTGTTTTTAATATTTCTTTGCATCAAACTCCAGGGCCAGCTTAGATTAAAGGATTTTGATAAACAAGCCATTTTTTATTAGGAAAAGTGGTGCACAACTCATTTATTTATTTATTCATGATACCCTACAGGCCCCAAAGAGCATTAAGTAGGGGGACTTACAGGTAAACCAAAACAAATAAAGCATAAAGGGAAACACATCGAGCCTGAAACGAAGAAAATTGTACAATGAAGTGGAAAAAAACAAACGATAAAATAGAATGCAGTACAATACAAAACTTAAAAAAAAAGCATCTTTATACAAAAATCAAGAGAACATATAGACTTGCAAATGCTCACAAAATTTTGCAGGGTCTCTTAATGAAACAATTTCAGCAGGAAGATTATTCCAAAGAGTGATGGTGTGTGGCAAAGCAGAACTATTTAATGACTGTGTGTGGCCAAAGGTGTGTCTGAAACTGGGTTGATTACGAAGACGTCGTGATGTACGCGAAGGAATTTAAATCGAGAGGCGACTGGTCCAGGAGTTGTAATGGTACTTATGGGAAAGGCATAGAAGGGTGACAGAGCAGCGGGAATCCATGTTGGGAAGGGCAATATTGCGTTTGATTTAGGTGATGCTGGAACACTGATTGTATATTGAAGTTACGAAGCAGGCTGCACAATTTCTGATGGATTCCACTTTATCTATTAGGTATTGTTGATGAGGAGACCAGATTTATGAAGCCTATTTCAAATGAGGGTTCAGAAAGGTTAGATAGGCCTATTGCCGAATGGAAGATAGGGAATGATACAGATTTCGGCACGAAAATCCCAGAGTTTTGTTAGCTATCGCGCATACCTTTTTGATGTGACTACACCAAACAAGATTAGAACAAAGATGAATGCCGAGATATTTGTAAGTAGATGAACGGGCAATTTCAGCGGGGCAGAGAAAGTAAGGAAATAGAAAAACTGATTTTTTATGGATGAAAAGAAGTATACAGCACTTAAATGTGTTAAGTGTCATTTGCCAGCAGTCACACCACTGATTAATTAGGTCGAGGGCCTGTTATAAACTTACATTGTCATCTCTAGAGTTAATAGTTCTATACACTAGGCAGTCATCCAAGAAAAGACGAATTGAAGAAGAAATGTTACGAGGCAAACCATTAATATAACTCAGAAAAAGAAGAGGGCCTAACAGGCTACTCTGGGGCACACCTGTAAGACAAATGAAGTAGATGAGCTGGAGTTATTGACAAATAAGAACTGCTGTTGATTAGATAACAAATTCCAGTGCCAAAATAATGTGGATGAGTCAAGTCAAAGTGTCGATAGTTTAGCTATCAGGTGACAGTGGGCAACTCTGTCGAATGCTTTTGCAAAGTTTGGAAAGATGCAATCAATGATTTTATTATTATTTATACTGTTATGTAAATCCAATGTAAATTCTAATAGTTGTGTATCAAACGATAATGTTTCCCAAAAACCATGTTGATTTACAAAGAAGTTATTTGAATCGAGATGACTGTAAATATGGGGGGCAATGATGTGCTGAACCAGCTTGCAAGAGATGCATGTTAGCGAGATGGGGCGATAGTTACCGGAGGAATGTTTGTTCCCGTCTTTAAATATCGAAATGACCTTCGCAGTCTTCCATTCGGTGGAAAGTTGACCAGTGGATAACGACTGTTAGAAAATGTGACATAAAGTTTGACTGAACGAAGCGGATGTGTACTTTGGAATTAATATTGTCAACACCACATGATGTAGACAACTTTATACTGTTTATAAGTTTAGATATGCCTTCGACAGTAACACTGATAGGAGACATGAAGCAGTACTCAATATCAGAGATGCAGGGAACCGATGAAAAGTCTCCATTTGTAGAGGCAGAGCAAAAAAACGAATTGAAGGTTGAAGCACATTCAGATGCATACACAGAAACATTATCAGCGTATCAGTGACATGTAATGTAATCATGTCACTGCCATGGTCAGGCAAAATGGCATGCCAGAACTTTCTGGGGTTAGTGTGCAAAAGTGTAGAGAGATCAGCGGTAAAATATTTCTTTTTCCTTTCACTAACTGCAAGACAGTAATATTTATAACCTTTTCTTATTTCTGAGAGATTGAAGCAATCTATTAAACCACGGTTTGAATTCATCGTTAGCAATATGGATTAGTGGAGCATAATTATTTATGAGGAGCGCCATAATACTTCTAAAGGAATCCGTGAGGGAAGAAATGAATTGTGTAGGAAGGACCTCAAGTTCAGCGTTCATTCGATCGTAATTTGCCTTGCTGTAATCCCTGTTTATTTCACGCTGGACACCCGAAAAAATTAGTAGGGTATTGATTGAAAACTGTGGAAGGTTGTGTTCACTAAAGCCATCTAATTGCAAAATGAGACGTATAGTATGTGGCTGTTTTCAGATTGAGATCTAATATATTGTTATCATGAGTGGGCTCTGAAACAAGCTGGGTGAAATTAAAGTCCAGACATAGCTCAACGAATTCACATGACGCACTGCACGGTGAAGACATGCATGACCAGTTAATGTAGGGAAAATTAAAATCACCAAATAAGTAAGTTTTTCTGTTGGGAAATAGGTCAAGAGCTCTGGAAATACTTTTGTAAAGCTCGGATATGAAAACACGGTCAGAATAAGGTGGGCGACAGCATACCGTATTTACTCGATTCTACTGCGCCCTCGATCGTAACGCGCACCCGGTTTCCACGACAAAAAAAAAAAAAAAGTAAGACATCGATTGCAGAGGCGTATGATCGGCATTCCCGATTTGTCCAAGCAGGGAGCCGTTGTTGTGCCGCAAGTTTAGGACGAACCTCTGAAAACTGAAGCTTTTCTTCGTACTTCTCCGGCAACTTTTGGCATATGCCGGTTCACCTTCAGAAGGAAAAGCCTTTCCTCTTCATAAACTTAGTTAGCCAGCACCTGCTCGCTGTAAACTGGCTCCACAATAGCCCTTTTTCTAAGGCTAACTGCATAGCCTGCACTTGGAGCAGTTCTGTCGTCACGGGTTGCTGTGCCGCTCACTGCTCAATCACATACTCGCCGAGAAGCTCTTCAATTTGCGGAAACCGACCCTGCTGTGGTCCGCTGAAGCCTTTGCGTGAATCTTTTCTGTTGACAATATTCTGCTTTTGTTTCCGCCAGTCCCGCACGCACGTTTCGGGAACTGCGAACGACCGCGATGCAGCCCGATTTACGTCCGTTTCGGCACACGCGATGACTTTTCTTTTAAAAGCGGCATCGTGGTGCACTCGTCGAGTTTTTCGAGTCGGCCCTTCCATGCTGTCGATGCTAATGCACACCAAGATGACGAACTCCTCAGCACACGTACGAAGTGCGGCACATGGGAAACACACAGGCAGAAATGGCCGACGCGCCATGCCGACGCACGTAGGGGTCGGTCATTTTGGAATGCCGATGGCAATAGAATGACCATATTCAGTTTTTTTTTTTTTCTCGTACTCGATTCTAACGTGCATGCGATTTATGAACTCGCTTAACCAGAAAAAAGGTGCCCGTTAGATTCGAGTAATTACGGTATGCCCATCTATAATTTTCGAGACAGGGTCGGTGTAGCGAGCCAATCTAAATCTAAGGAAGTGTCAGTGTCAACAAGAAAGGAACGTATAGCTCGTTTGATGGCTAACAGCACACCGCCACGGCTTTTATGGGCCCGGTCATGGCGAAAGATGGAGTACAGACTTGAAGTATGATATTGCTCGTAGTCGCATACGTCAGCGTGTAGCCAAGTCTCGGTTAGTAATAGAACATCAGATTTACTACCATCAAATTTCTTTAATTTGACTGATGCAAACCTATAGCTTTTCAATATAGTAGCCCTCGTGTCTTGACTCATTTTAGAAGGCAAGCTCAGTTACTAAGACATTTCTTCTTTATATCCTACGATATTTGTTTACTATAAATCTGCTTATATACACATGTAAAAATATTATAATAAAGCAATGTGTTACCTCCTGGAGAGATGCCAAGCTTTCAAGGGTTCTTGCCCGGCGTGAACCATGTCGACTCATGGCTCGGTCGAACTATATCGTCAAAAAAAAAAAAAGAGAAAAAAATTTGCAGTGTTAGCAATAATGGTGCTTTTAATTTGCAGAGATTTCTAGAGCCTCCAATTCTGCTAATAGCACATGCATTGCCCTCTCTCATTTCTGACTTGTACTGTTATTTGTAATGTGTAAACATTACAATATGGCACACAAATATCCACTTCCACACATATTTTACATATACACTCAAACCTCGATCTATTATACACATATATTTTGCATATACATACACTCAAATCTTGACATAATAAAAACAGATATAACAAACTATCAGTTATAATGAAGTAAGTGAAAAATAGTCTTGAAAAAGATAGAGTGTTAGAAATAAACCTTTATAAGAAAAGTTAAGATATAACAAACTTATTTTGGTGCAACATGCAACTTTGTTATAATGAGATATGAGTGTATAGCAGCATGCCTAACTAAAAACTGAATTCCAGCTCATATGAACTGCATAACATGTGACTTGAGCGAAAGCCCAGTCACCCTTACTTTTGCTGCTTATGCTAACTTTCCAGCGTGAACATAACCAATATAACTATGTATAATCTCACCGTCAGGTTGCGGCTGCTTCCGTATCCATGATGACGGCCATATTCATGCATCTGTCGAAAGTGCTCCAGCTGAGGTGCAGCAATAAAGACCACATAAGGCATGAACTCCGGTGTGTTCAGGATCTTCAGATACTGCAACAAGGAGGCAATGAAAAGCAGATTACTCTAACTACTTGCGGTGCAACTAAACAGCTTCCTAACAATGTGCACAAGATGGCTCAAATCTCTGCAAAGAGTAGTTTAAAACATGGGAATAGTATACGCACTTAGTTCAAAAATGGCACTAATTTGTGGACACTGTTTTTGCAGACTATTAAAAGAGTCCATGAAGATATTTCTAGAACTAAAAAATGTCATCTGAGCATCAGTACCTAAAAAATTTGATTTTTCTTCATTCACATTGACGCATATCAACAATGTGAAAGTGCTTCAAATGCTATGCCATTCTCAAGGTGAAGACAAGGCAGTGGGTTGGATTTTTTTAGCTGAGACAACTTTATTATTGTGGGGGCAAAGTGCAAAACACTGATATATCAAAATTTCAGAGAATAAGTTTTTTATTACCACATGTTACAAAAAGTTAACTGTGGTAAAAGAATTTCATGCGGAGTCAGCTGCTACATTAAATTATAGTTGAGGTGTTGCTTTGACACATAAAACATTAATCATTACAGTCTAACGCATTTATAACAATACCAGTTTTAGCAATATATCAGTTATAACAAATAGATTCTCCTGCATCGTCAACTTTTGTGTGTCTTCTATGGTGAAGTAACCCTTTGCAACAATGCCCCCACGTCACATTACCCATTATAACAATGAATTCTGACTGCTGGGTGTCCATGCTTAAAGGTAATAGAAAGTAAAATCCTTGACAAGAAAGAAAACAAGAAATTCAACCTGCAGCACTTCCGCTCAGCACCCTGAGGACCACTGCACAATCGTACAAAGAGACATGCGCTGTAGTCTTCTTGGCATTGCTATAAACGCATGCCTCGCCCATCGCTCTTACACCTCTCCACACTTGAATAAGCCACTGTGTACCACAATAGGGGATGTTCTACCCTGTGACAGTAACCCCTATGAATTCACAGTACAATGCACCACATATCCCGATTTGGCATTGTGGCCAAGCTGGCTTTTGAAATCTGCTACAGCTGCAAGCAAATCTACTCGTGACAGTGCTGAATCGAGACTGCTGAATCGAGCCTGCGAAATGATCGACACAGAAGCGGTGACTTTAGTTACTTCAATTTTGGATACGCAGTTTGATAATTCGGAAGAAACTTGGAAGATCTTTGAGAGTCACCTTCAAGAATAGAACAAGATGGAATAATCAGGCCCTTTGCGCATTGCCTTCAGAATTGATAGCCTCAATCGGTTTTCGGTGCATGCCTCAATTGTGCCAAAGAAAACGAAAAACTGTGTGCACACATTAACCAGTTCGAGCTATGCTAGAATATCCACTGCAAGTACAAGCGCCCACTATGCCAGATGTGTTCTTTTTGCGAATCAGCGAAGAGCCCACGATCCGTCCATAAGGCAACACGCCAACATGGTATGTTCGAGCACTTTGTAATGGGCGGTTCTTTAAAACACCCACTCGTTATGAGGTTCCCATGTTTTGATGCCTAGCGCAATTCTATGCTTCTGCCATATCATATTACATGTGTTAAGGGGTCTACTTCCACTACATGACATTCATATTATGGTAATTGTTTTTGAATCAGTTACCAGAAAACACGATACTATCAAACATGCTTTCCTAGATTGCAGAGGTGCAGTGTTTTACTGGGACATGCTTCAGAACATTCTAAAGGAAAAATCACTGGTGAATTCATATGGCCTAAAGTTTGCGCCAATAGAAAAGACATAATAATGGTTCTGGGTTTCCAGGGGTTATGGAAACCACGAATGCAGGAACGTTATGCAAGTGTTCATGTAAAATCTTTGAGAGACAACTTCACTGAAAGTGCTGTGCAAATTCAGAAGATTTTAAAAGCCCAGCCTGATCCACCAGCCTGGGCCACTATATACTTGACATGCTCAACGCTATGAAAAAGTTGTAGACTAGACAGAGTTGCATCAGTGTATCACTAATGAATTTTGTGTATCTTGATCTCACTGTACCTTCTGTACCAGGCAATAAAGAAAAAAAAAGCATTAGCAGGCTTCTGTAGTAGAACACCTGCTTGCTATGCAGATGACCCGGGTTCAATTCTCACTCAGACCAAAGTTTTTATTATTACTATTTATTTTATTTGCATCTTTCTTATTTTTTTCGATCACAAACAAGATTATCATTTTTCGCTCACAACCAACAACACAGACACTGAAATTTCTGCCAAAGCTATCATGTTGAAATGCAACATTGAAGAATTTCAGCATTCAATATTTCAGAACTTTTAATACTTTGACTATGCAAGTGTCTGCATTTGAAGGACGGCAAAAAAATCTGCAGCCGTGCCATCCTTATTACTGATGTGTGTTGATATATCTCATTTACTATTAATATTATAGTTTCTTTAGCAACAGTGTGCTGTGCCCTCATTTAGCTTTTTTTTTCATGCAACCCATTTCTAGTAATTATCGGCCATAACAATGGTATTTTCATGGCCCTAGAGTACTGCTATATGTAGGTTTGACTGCACATAACATCAGCACACCATAAAAACAAGCGTAGCAGGAAAATGAGTGAAAAGAAGTGCAGAGATGCCACAGTAAGCGGGGTGTGTCACCTGTGGTGCAACATTCTTTAAAGTGTGGCAGACGAGATACACACCTGGGGACTGCAGTCCACGACGCACATTTTTCCAGAGCGGATGACAGCACGCAAGGTGTCCAGTTTGGTGCCATAAAGGTGACCACCATGCTCACCCCATTCGAGGTACTTGTTGTCAGCTATGTCAGCTTCCATGACCTCTCGAGATACAAAGTAATATACTTTTCCATCAGTTTCTGTCTCCCGTATAGGTCGAGATGTGTCTGCACCAGAGCATAGTCATACACCAATCTCATCAAGGCCAAGATGTAATATTTAATTGCTGATATTTGTGCATCCAAATAGTCAAGTACATTTAATTGTTATGTAATTAAAATTAGGCAACATGTGTACAATGCACATACTAAGTTGGGTCATACTTGTGCTGATGGTTTGGTCTCATCAGACTACCATAGCGATATGGCTCATATGAACATCCACAATGGCCGAACAGCATTCAAAAAAAGAACTAAGAAATGCATTGAGTGGAAAACTGAGTTAAATGAGTGCAAGGAACATTTGAGTGCAAATAACACTAGACAGGTAGTAGTACACAAACTGAAAAAGGGTGCAAGAACTCGCATCCAAAGTACTGAATGAAATGTTCTTGTTTTCTAACCACAGTATAAGTAAAATCACTTTAGGTGCGGACAAAAGCCCCGCAGTTTGTTTAGACAATATTCGACACTTCCCTCTAGGCTGCCATGCCGCAGCGTCTGTCCCCCACACAACTGTGGCCTTTGTATGTACTGTAGACGATGAGCTGCGTATGTAGCGTCCATAACAGTGTTGTGTGCGGGAGAACACTGTGGAGGCACGGCCGCTGATGGAGGCAACTTCAGCATTCGCCACACATGATGTTTCTCAGTCGCGAAAAATGTGGTATGCGTTCCTAGCTTTAGTTGCTAGCATGCATGGTGCTTTCAAAAAAAATACAAGAAAAAGAAAAAGTGCAATGCACGTCTCTTTTGTTGCACCAAGTCCCTTTAGACCCCCACATCGCAGCGCCCCTTTACTTTTGTGCCACAATACCGCGGCCGGCGCATGTCTAAACATTATCTGGACGCAGTCTCCGTCACAGCAGGCAAAGAGTGTCTACGCCTAAATGATTTTCTTATACCTTGTTCTTAACTAATGTATTTAAATGGCAACTGTAAAAGCACTGCCAACTAAATAACATAACCAAAATTGCTAACAAATTACATATGCAGCTGCTGTTTCAGCAATCTTATTAGTTCAATATATCCAGTGAGCACTATTTTTAAAGCTTTAGGACAACAATAGGAGCTGTCATAAACATGCCTCACTGTAGAGAACAATGAGACTCTTTTGTTCACTTTTCCCAGTGAGCTTTGAATGTACAAGCTAGCACATGCTTTTACTTTCATTACCATAAATTTTTTTTTCAGTCCTTTAAAGCTCCAAACTTTTACCCACCTTTCATCCATTCTGGTCCAAAACTAAATAAATCAAAGCTCGAGTAAACAAAGTTTACTAACTATTTTATAGACGGCAGATAATGCAACAGAAAAAACATGCACGTGAGTCAACCATGGAAGAGCTGCACGCAGTGTCCAAACAGAGACCACCACCGCAGCCATGTTGTGCAATTGGGTAGAAGCCAACAAACCGCAAAGGATTGAAGAAATGGGTGAAAAGTTAGCCACACTTCCAAAAGAGCACAGGACAAAAACTCACTCATGAGTGACTCACCGAGACTCACTACAACTCGGATGGGCTGTGAGTCTGAGTGAGTCCGGGCGGGCAATATATTGGTGAGTTTGAGTCTGAGTGAGTTTGGTTGAGGAAATTTTTAGTGAGCCAGAGTATGAGTGAGTCTGGTTGAAGAAAATATTGCCGAGTCTAAGTCCGAGTGAGCCTTCAGAGCAGAATATATTTCTTGAGTGAGTCAGAGTGAGCTCCAATGACTAGTGTGGGCTTATGAGGACGAGTGATTTGTATATGTGGTCACTTGCTTTGCTAAACTTATTCTAAAGAGCATACACTAACTAACCCAACTACCATGTTTTTTTATGCATTTCACGGACACTAATGCCTCTTCTAGCCAGACATAAATCTATTAGTCTAAAGCAGGCGTGTAGTCAGACATTTTTTTTTTGGGGGGGGGGGGGGGGGGGGGCACCTCCTTAATTTTGGATGCGGCACCCCCTTGAAATGGTCATTTTTTGTTCTCTATGCCATGGCGAAAAAAAATAAGGGGGAGGGGGGCACGACGAGCACAGTGTGCCACCCCCTGGCTAGACCCCTGGTCTAAAGAGACATGCTTTAAATAATTACATAAAGTAACAGCAATATTCAGTGAGTTTCCTCTCACATACATTGAACTATTAAGGGTATCCTGAAACAACAAGAAGAGAGAATAATTTTAAGTACAAGTATGGCCATTTGGACCTCATAAAGAAACTTCATATATTACTTAATGCAGTTTTCTCACACCATGACAAGAATGAATTTATCAAACTGTTTCTTCATGGGTATGTTGAAAGCACAGACGCTTAATTTTTAAAATATATTTTAAAATATAAATGTCACCGTTCAATTGCATTATAATATGGCAATCGGTATACAGTTGAACCCCTTTATAAAAGACACTGATATAAGAGACAAATGTGTATAAGAGACACTTGTGTGCCTACAGTAAAACACGAGTTGATAAGAAATTAAATACATGGTACCCTGCTTATAACAGACATCTGATATAAAAGACAGAAATTGCTGCCTAGGGCATGCCTCTTATAAAGGGGTTTAACTACTGTTCACACTGTTAACCCCAAATGCCCGTGCTGTGATGTGCCTTAAGTGTTTTGAAGCGGTTGCTACAATTTTTCTGTACTGTACAGCAGATAGCTAATGATGCTTGTCACGATAGGATTGTGCATAAAAAGAGGTAATCGAATCGTAAATTTGTCAGTGGCCACCATCATGTCTCCATGCACTTCCAATACTCATTCATGTAAGCATTACTCCATGTTTGTAATCACACTGTGACTCATAACCCTTGGAAGACCTGTCTTTGCCACAGAAAGGCACAGCACAGCATAGTGTGGGCATACTGCTTATGTGCCAGTGATCACTACTAGACAGTTGGTCTCCGCAAACTAAAATGACAATCTTTTTGACACAGCATGGCATTAAACACAGTGCATATTGATCAAAGATGCAGTTGAATTTCCCATAACAAAAACTGATACACAGCGAGGAAGTGCATTCCATACCATTTCATTAAACCGTAATTCTTGGAGCCCATTGGCAACGTTTCCACACATAAGGTCGCACGCAAAATATTGCTTTTTGCCATCTGATGTTTATTTATCTTTTATTTGTCGGAAAGAACAGGTGTGTGTACATGCAAAGCAGGAGAATTTATATGTAACAAAACTGCAGTGATAATTTTCTTTGCTCTAACTCAAGAAAAAAACATACTTTTCAAGGCTGCTAAAATTAGAAAATGTGAACGGCTCGTTACTTCATGAATTTCATTAAATTGGGGTTCATTATATTAAGGTTACACTACTTACTGCACATGCACACACACACACACAGATCTGTGTACCCCCTCCCCACCCTACAATAAAGTCCTGCTATGCCTCTGCAATGTCGAAGTAAATCAGCCTCTATAAATATACAACATTTCTCCTTCAACACACATGAATGTGACCCATATGTCTACTAAAATAGATCATTTATATCATCACTGGTTGTCGTAAATTAGCAACTGCATATTCAACCCGGTAAATGCTGTTAGATTTCAAAATGGCCCTCAGCTTGCAGACCATCTAGACCTGTTTCCACTTCGATTAGAATTATATGCCACCACATAAGCATGAATGAAACAGACCCTCTAATTGTACTGTCAATAATCTTGCACAATGCTGCTACCATGGTCCTTTTGTTAAGGCTGCCAAAGTGCAGATGTGGCATGCTGTCATTTCATTAAAGGTACCTCGAAACAGTTTTTTGACATCATCAATAATCATCATCATCATCACACGATTAATCATCAGACCATTCACACCACAAATTTAGTGACATGCTGTGTACCAAGGCCGCTATGGACAATTATGTCATACCCTCCTTCGCACCTCTGCCTGGCTTCCTCAACTCATGAGGCACACTGTCAAGGATAGGGATCGCACAGCTCTAATGAGTGCACTCAATTTTTTCAAGCTTTTACCAGTCTAGACCTCCGAGATCACATGCCGACAGGTTGTGCGCAGTCTCGGAGGCTATCACATAGTGCACCCAGCAGCCCGCACGCTGTCTGGCAACAGAGACGAATATCGCGGAGTGGTTCATATCTGCTCCGACAGGTGCTTTCACCCTACCACCCAATCTTACTTCTGCCCATTCTACAGCCCATGACAGCCAATCAGATCAGCAGCCACAGTGATGTCAAATGGGTGTGAATGGGCAGTTGAAAACGTTTGGCCGAGTCGGAACGATCCGCACCAATCTGCAGCGATTTGCAGTTTTAAAGCGTTGTAATAAATTACACAATTTACGCAGTGAGATCAAACCGGTCTCTAAATAACCCTTGGGACTTGGTCTACGGGGGCCCCCCAATGCGCTTTTACAAAATCATCAAAACCGTTTCAGGGTCCCTTTAACTCGAAAAGCATACTGGAAAACTTTGTTCAAGAAAATTTTGGGGTTCCCTAATCAAGCCATGGCAGATCCGGAGGTTCATGACCTAATTCAGTGTCACTGCTCCAAAATGAGTCACCAACAAAAAGTTTGCCCAGACACACTTAGTGTTCACTGTTCTAGCAACATTTACCAGTGTAAGAAAAAGTTTCTGCTTTAAGTGGCAAATGACTCACGAGGAAGTGGTGTTCCAAAGTGCACAGGATCATAGCTGATAAGCTTGTTCTTCAGGGAACGTCTACCAACACCTCGTGCTCCAACAAGCACAAGTGTCTTACGCTCAAATGGTGGCATCCGAGCAACCTCTTCATACAGTAGCAGCTCAGCTTTTTCAAACTCTGAATTAGACAAAAGAAGTAAGATCACAAAAATGTTCAGCATATAACAACATATTAGAGCTTTAAGCAAGCACCTTTTACAAAATCTTATGGCTTGAACTGCTTACAGTAGAAGGTACAATGAATTTTAAAGGACATTAAAGAGAAAAGCTACTTCACTCGTAGGAGTAAGCTAAACTCCAAAATATAGCAAAAGTGCTACTCTCGCCATGAGAAGGCACTTGGTAAGATGCAAGCACTAGGATGACTACCTTCTCACCTAAGGAGGTGGGTAGTGCGCCCTCGTTTTTATGCACAGATGTCCACCATAACTGCGAGAACACGCTCTAATAAGACCTTCGCAGGACAACATACACCACTTTTTTTGCGACAGACACTTTTGGAATAGCCTCTGCCAATGGCAAATGCACAAGTTGCATTGCTTATGTCCAAATGCTAAAGCAAAGAGCTGTGCTCATGCTCCTGACTGGTCTTGCTATATCAAGTAACACTCATCAGGAAGTGAACATTGATGCCAGTTGCCCTAGTTTTCCATGACTGACTCTGTGGCCCCTTGGCAGCATAGCCACAAAAGATCTTTTCCCGAGTAGTACACCTTCTACATAGTATTGACCTTCGACATAAGAATCAGACGTCTGGTGCAATAAAACAACCAGTGCTTGAGTAATGTGCAGCAATAGCTGATGCAGCCCTTTCATTCTGGGAACTTGAACCTGTGTTGGCTGGTACTCCTCTGATTGCTGAACAGAAACTACAACATACCGTATTTACTCGCATAACTTGCGCACTTTTTTATGCGATGTTGGGGCCCCAAGAAGCGGGTGCAAAAATTACGTGGAGATTTCGCAAGGGCGTAAGTGGGAGTACGAAATATTCTGTCACAGTCCTAATGTGTGCAATATATACGTCTAAAAAAATTGGAGCAGAAACGAAATGTACTTGTTAATTTAGAATATTTAGCACGTACTTTAACCAGTCACATCTGGTCACACTCAATCTAGTGGGAATCATTGATCGCGAAGTGCAAGTGGGAGTTATCGTCCCAGCCGCTGCCACTGGCCTCCCAAAGCGCATCGTCCTCAGTTTTGTCAAGTGCGTTCGAATGCCCCATTTTTTTTAAGCTCTTCACAACAATAGTGTGAGACACTAGGTCTCACAACACGGCGGTACCGGGTGACTTAAGCCTTCGCACATAATTTAAAAGGCCTTCTTCAGTAGCAGGAAACTTGCATTAAAAAACGCGCCGTTCTCTGATTTCTTGTGTACCAATCATATCGATCATCACACGTTGAAGTACGTCACCTTGAAGTGCTTTGCAGAGGCACGGTTCCCGTTTTCTTCTGCAAAATTTACAACAGCGAGCTTCAATTTCACCGTATATATATTTACTGCAGCATATCGCAAGGAAGCCATAAAACGCATTGGCCGTATGGCAAAACCTAAAGTTCGGAAATTGACCAAGCGTGCGTTCCAGTGCAGACGCAGAGAACAAGGGGAACGGTTGGTGCGACAGGCCTTAGGGCTTGCATGCCTCCGATGCAGAAAGTTGTCCGTGCCGTCACGCGAGCGTGCATTCTCGAGGTGGTAGAGATAGAGAGATGGGAAGCAAACGCTGGAGTAGTTCAGCCGACCATCTGCAGCTAGGTTTGAGTGTTCGGGTATTCTAGGAACCCTAGTTCAGGAGAAGTCCTCGGAAGAATGGACTATGTACTCACAGCCTGTTTGACTGCGCTTGACTGCTCGGCAAGGTGCGCGCCCGTCCGAAGCATTGGAAAGTCTCTTCGTGCCAGCGAGGTGGCTCGGGTGGGTTGGAGAGCGCAAAATATGCAAGTAAACATCTTTTTTTTTTGCAAACCTGGCAAAATAATAGGGATGTTCAAATTATGTGTGGGTGCAAATTATGTGAGTAAATACGGTAATAGTTGCATCACTTTAATGCTAATTGCTTTCAATTTTTACCTCCCCTCTCCCTCCTCAATAAAAAAAGTAAGCTACTTAAAGGTGCTCTTTCAGATCCTAGAATAGTAGTTCCACAGCTAAAGTAATAAATTCAACCTACACCATATCCTGATGCTTTAAATAACTTTCTTGCTTCAAGCATGAGTTCAGTGAGATGAAGTGCACTTGCACATGTTAAAAAGACACTAAAAACTAAAGCGACCTTTCCTATATTAGTAACTACAATTTCACAATACTGAAAGCACCAGTCTTTCCACGATAAAATGCCTTGTAACCTAGAAAGTAAGCAAAAAAAAAAGTACAGGTGGCGACAGCACCTTGCACTTCCATCACCAGCTCGCTGCGACATCACAAATTTTGATGGCACCTGCTTGGGCCTACGTAATGACTTGTTGTCAAGAATAACTTATACGCACGTCAGACAGGCACTTAGAAGGACTTTCAAACAATAGTCCATTCACTTAATGCTCAAGTCCACGCTGCTACATAGATATTTTCAAAGGATGTTAAGTCTATTGAGTCAATGGAACACCCTAGAACTCTATCAAAACCTTGGTGGCCATAGAGCAATAGAATCAGAAACAATGCAAACGTGCTTTCTTGTTCATGTGCTTGTACTGATTACGGAGACTAAAAAAGAATAGAGCTGTGTGAATTGCAAAAGTTTGGTTATGAAGCGAATTCAAATATTGAAAAGTGAGTGTGACTCGAATCAAATATTTGTCGAATATTTCGAGAACATTTTTTTGAATACCTCAAAGTGAAATTGTAGGGAAAAAAAAGTTGGAGAGGATTCCCAAGTATATTCTTACGAGATGGCAACATGAAAGGTTCCTTTTGACTAGGTTGATGAAGCACTGGTGGGCTGGTACTTCGTAGTCATCTTATTAATAATGAGGCAATGCAGAGACCGAATTCTACTTATGTACATGATCTGGTACAACCAAAGTGCTGTCAACAACACTTTACATGTGAAAGGCAAAGATGCTCTTTTCTTGGCCTCTCCCTCTCTTTTAACTTTTATGGAAGGCCAATTGATGTGATGGACAAGAGTGTGTTCCCTTTGAATCTGGAGTTCCAAATCCACCTCAGAGGTGTTAATATATAAGAGAACAACTGAAGTTATGGATCCGAAAATCTCCGGCACCCAAATTTTTTAACTTCCTTCCCAAATTTCAGGTTCAAAACAGCATTATTGAGCCCTCACTTTTGCCCCATTCACCATCTCCATGTTGGAACCAGTATTTCCTTGAGTCAATACATTTGACACAGTAGCAAAGCCTGATAGGCAGCTTTGCCCCAATATGAGAGCATAATGCTATGAACCATATTAGAAATCTGAAGGGGCCGGAGACTACTGCCAATCTGACGTTGACTTTATTTGTTTTCAGAAAAATTGAACAGTAAAATTCTGCTGCAAAATGAAATGAATAGCAAATACTATTAGAAAAATATTAGAAACGTTGAATATTTGTACACTCCTAAAGGAAGTTGAAACCAGAAAAATAGTACTGTCAAACTTCGCTACAACAAATGCCAGTTCAGGGAAATTTCTGCTACAACGAAAAATTCATGATTCCCTGTCAGCAGTTCATAGGAGTCAATGCATAAATATTGTCGCCACAACGAACCCTTTTTCTTCGATCTTCCCGCTTTAATGAAATTTTACGATGAAAGTCCAGGCTCAGATACTTATCGCTATGCAGTAAACCCAATTTTTAACATTTTGATGCATTTTCAGAGCCTGAAAATGTGTCAACGAAGTAAAAAACATGCATTCGCATCATAACAACCGCCGCTATACCGCCGCTGTTCATTCAAGGGACCAAAGCTGTTCAGCAAGTAGGGGCGCTGCCATTTCTCGATAGCAATGGCAATGAGACTGCCCTGCTTTTGTTTTACCACTGGCTTGCTTTTGACCCACAGACGGTCTGAAGCTGAAACGTAACTTGGAAGTGTGGCGGTTTGGGCTAGTTAATATGACATGACGACAGTTATAGCACGAGAACAGAATGACCACAAATTCCAGGCTCCTTCTTGTCTCTTGGCCGTCGTTCTGTTCTCGCACTTATAACTATCGCCGAAGTTGAAGCTCAGCTCATGGTTTCCTGATAAAAATGGCATAGAATAATGCAAAAGTCGCGGCTTTACAATACCCTGCCTCCATCTCGGCGTTAGATACTTTTGACAGCGGACAACTGCTGGTGTTAACGTGTTAATGCAACTGTTTGGTTTGTTCACGAAAGGGGTTTTAGGCATTGTTTCAGCGTGCTTTTCACTATGGCCTCGCTATGCATGGGTGAGAATCATGTCGTGATGCTGCTGGGAAAGAATAAAAAGCAGTGGACATTTTTTGAGTTTTGAGAATAAACGTTCCTTTGTTTTGCTAGCTCAGATCAGCTATATTTTTTTCAACTTCACTACAAAGAAATTTTTGCTTCAACAAAATTTTTTCCCGCCCCATCAGTTTCGTTGTAGCGGGGTTTAGACTGATTGTATAAATGTTATTAATCAGTGTCAGTGAACAGGCTTTTCTCTTTTTTTGTTTACATCTACAAAACAAGCTCACAAATACATGCAGACTGCCACGGCAATCATGTTTCATGAATACCACAATGTGAAGCGTCATGCAGACACTCCATTTTGCAAAACAATGCCCACACCCCTCTTCAACGTCTGTGCAATCCTCCTCATATGCAAAATATTGTAATTTTACCCATAGGCAATAACATCGGACCACGTAACAGTGTCTTACCACTGTGGTGATTTGAGTTTGGCCATGAATTTACCACACTTCGTCGCCACCCCGCTACAGGGAGCCTAGCGAAGCTCTGATAAGTGTGGCATGTGGACAAAGCCTAGCTCAGTCATTGGCTGCCTGCCAATGACATGATCCCTGACACTGTGTTGCCTTTCTGAAGCAGGCATGGTCACAACAGTGGGCTAATAGACCCACCCCTCTCTGCTGCTGAGAATGGCAGAAAGGCCAAACGAAAAACTGAAAGCAGCTGAAAGAAGGTTTTTCTATACCTTGCAACTTTCTTATTACTGTACAGCACTAATTCGCTAAATTTTTGTGACAACAAGCTCACATTGTACAAGTACACAGTTATAGTTTCATCCCACATTTTGGAACACAGGGTAATTTACTGGCCCTTTATTGAACTATTCCTGCCACTTGAAATATGCAAACTGCACACACTCTCAACAACAGTGGCAAGCCTGTGTTTAGAGAGCCATATGTGACATCCACAATATCACTCCACAGTATTCTCAAGAGCTTAAAACCAAAACATAAATGTACAACAGCAAGTAAGCAAGTTATTTAAATGTTTTAAAAAAAGAACAGATATATTTGCACTTGTAAGTGCATTTACATTCCATAACCTTTGGCAACCCACAAACAAAAATGAAAACCTGCAGTGCCACAATTTTTATGAGAAATGCCTGATCCACTCAATGGCCATTCAAAACTGCAGTGTAGCAGCACTACAACTACAGTGAGTTAACAGTGTTCGGGCATTTTGAAGGCTATGGACAGGCTAGCGTTTCAAGAGTGCCCATGATACGTTGTGTTCTCAGAGATGAATGTACTAATTACCATCAGCAGTTTCCGAAAATTTTGTAGAACCATTGCCGCCAAAATATGCAATATCACTGACATTCACATGCTGTAGTTTCGGCACAAAATTCTACACGAAACTTCGACTTTAACTTGCTCTTCTAATAATCAACAGATGATGGCCAAATTTATGACAACAGAGTTCTGAAAAAATAATTTATCCATCCAAACTAATTTAGCGCTTTACTAGGGGTCCTCTTGAGTGGCAGGTCGACATTTTACACTGCACGTAAGGTAAAAAAAAATGTTAGATGAGCAAACTTACCTGCCGATGCCTTGCTTTCATACATAGTTTTTCTCTTCTTCTTTGTAATCTTTGTGCCACACATTTCTGAAGAACAAAATAACAACATAACATCAAACCTGCAGTCCTTTCCACATTGCTGTCCTCTGTGTACACAGATGAAATGATACAAGTTACAAAAATTTTACAATAGGAAAAGTACAGGAATTTCTTCATTTTTCATATTTGCAAAGAGGTAGCTGTCAACACAGTACTTGCAAATATGTGGCTTGAATTGAGCTAGAGCACAGTACATAACTAATAGCATTACCATTTATTGTAATCAGTTCAAAACACATGCGATGTGCAGATTGGTCACACGGCAAGAGCGGAACAGTTCTGTCATGCTACGGATGGCACTGACTAGCACTCCGATATGCACATAAAATATCCAATAAGTCCGCAATCCTTTTGAGGCAGAGGGCCAAGTTGCATGAAACCGACGTGGCCGAGGGATGATTGGCAGATAGAAGGGGGGTGACGGCGGAGAGGGGGTGTGAAGGGCTTTGCAGGAAGAGAAAAAATTAAGCGAATTGACAATTTAAGAAACTGGATTATAATTCATGTTTAATATTAGCAAGCATGGCACAAAGTTTCAATCAAATAGGTAACAAGCGCAAATACCACTTTTAGGAAAGAACTGACATGTCGGCCATTATACAAGAAGTGATAAGGCAAAGAGTTCGACATCGTGCCAAGGGCCACAGGTTGACGACCCCTGTAATAAGCAGTCGAGGAGACGACTGGTGTCATAGCTCAAGGGAGTGTAATCTGAAGGTTGCAAGTTCAGTCACTACCTGCGGCAAGTTACGGTGCGAATGCACTTAAAACAGTGTATGTGACATCTCCTATACTTTCCTAGGCCTTATTATCTGCCGATGTTCACTGAGAACTACGAAAGTACAGTAAAAATTCCTCTACACTTTTTTTATATAGTTTAATTGCTTTTATCACAAAACGTGTCCTGTGTTCATGTTTTCTTGAGTGCCGTGTAAGTCACGCCCCCTACACAAAGCACGAACATCAACTTGCCCAACTTTTCATTATACTTCACATTATATTCACAAGGTGTGGGTTTTACCTTCTAACTGAGTAACACAGTTAACGTATGATACAAAGCAGTAACTAGCACATACTTGTCTTTGTTGCATAGTCATACTCTGGCCGCACAAATGCTCGTCTCCGTTCCTCAAGTTCTTGAGATGGAATAAGGCCTGCTGGACCTGAGGCAGAGACCCTCCTGGCCTGCACAAATAAAGAATGAAAGTCACTCAATGCTAATGTAGCGAAACGCCTTGAAATCAAACCAAAAATAAAAAAACATGGCTGATCCTTCTTTTTAAGAACCGGTATACAGTCGAACACTGCTACAACGAACGCCGCTTCAACGAAAAATTCCCGATTCCCCATCAGCAGTCTATAGGAGTCAATGCATAAATATTGTCACCACAATGAACACTTTTTCTTCCGTCTTGCTGCTTCAATGAAATTTTACGATGCAATTCCAAACTCAGATACTTATTTTTATGCAGTAAACCCAATCTTTAACATTTTGATTCAGAGCCCGAAAATGTGTCAACGAAGTCTAAAACGCGGCGCGTTGGTACCACCAGAAACGGCCCCTGTTTAGCAAGCATGGGCACCGCCATCGCTCAATAGCGATGGCCATGAGACTGCCCTGCTTTTGTCACTGGCTTGCTCTTGAGCAGCAGACAATCCGAAGCTGAAGCTCAGTTGCTCCATTCACGATTTCCTTGACATAGCTGCTGGGTGCAACGGTGGAACGATGCCTTTTACGATTCCGATGCTTATCATTATGTTCGCGCTTAGCCAGTGTGGTAACCAATCAGAGCGGCTGTTCGTCTGCATTATCGACAAAATCAGCTAGCCACGAGTAATGGATGATAAGAATGGCATAAAGTATTGCAAAAGTCACCGCTCCACGATACCCTGCCCCACTCAGCGTTGTCGGATACTTATGACGACGGACAGCTGGTGGCGTTAACCTGTTAATGCAACTGTTTGGTTTGTTCAGGAAGGCGGTTTTAGGCATTGTTTCAGCATGCTTTTCACTATGACATTCCTATGCATGGGTGAGAATCACGTCGTGACGCTGCTGGGAAAGAATAGGAACCAGTGGACATTTTTTGAATTTTGTGAATAAACGTTCTTTTGTTTTGCTAGCTCAAATCAACCATATTGAATTTCAATTTCTTCTTCTGTTGCACTTAGGTCCATCCATTATGGCTACTTACTTCTCAACAGATAATCTCAATTGCTTTATTTCACCTGTCTCCCACTCTGCGATTCATATTAACGCAAGAAGCATCCGTAAACACTTCGATGACATACAGCTTCTTCTCTCTGCACTTCACAATCCGTTTTCACTTATATGGTATCTCTGATACCTGGCTTCGCGATGATGACAAAAATTTGTTTGGTCTCCCCTCATACAAGTCTGAATACTCGCATAGGCCTAGCAGCAATCATGGAGGTGTTGCTGTTTATATTAAATCGAACATTCACTACATACGACGACATGACATTGAGTTAAATGTAACTGGCTGCAAAAGTGTTTGGGTACAACTTAACCACGATTTTCTTAATCTAGACAGCAAGAGCTTCATCTTTGGATGCATTTATCGATCTCCATCCTCATCGGTCATAAATTTCTGTGAAGCCCTTCATAAAGTATTATACACACTACCTCTTAGACATACAAATGTAGTGATTATAGGTGATTTCAACATTGATATACTTGATCTATCTTCTTCTAGTTCTTTGAATTACTCCAGTGTTTATCAGAATTCTGGCTATGAATGTTTAATCTCTCTTCCCACACGCTGCATGAATGGCGCAAGTACCTTGATCGACCATGCACTTTCTAATTTATCACAAGCGCCGGATGCAGGGGTTCTTAATGTCGACATCACTGACCATTACCTGATTTTTCTGTGCTTCAACTGTATCTCTTCACCGACTAGCATATTTTACACCAGGTGTGTTCTAGACAAAGAATCGTTCATTGATTATATCATGAACACTGATTGGTCATCAGCAATACACTTGGTTGATCCATAATTTGCATATTTGCGTAGTTTTTATCCATATTATTGTCACACATTCAGCGTCATACTGAGGTTCGCAAATGTAAAAAAACTTACGCCAGTCCTCAAAACCCTTGGGTTACTGAAAAATTACTGAAGGAGCTGAGAGCCAAGGAGAACCTTTATAGAAAAACAAAACGGAAGCCTTTCAATTTAAAATTACTTGTGCGTTACAAAAAATTCTGCAATGCCCTTAAATTGCGTCTGAAAAATGCAAAAAAGATTTATTATGAACGAAAAATTGAAGATGCCGCTTCAAATGGTGAGAAAAAAATGGGAAATCGTCAACTCATTCCTGAACAGGAATGAAAGGCATTCTGGCATCACTACTACTCAGTATAAAAACGTTACGTGTGATACCCTGTTAGAAATTGTGGAGGCCTTCAGTAACTACTTTTTTAACTCTGAGGTCATCCCCAATGCTGACTATCATCTTCCCCTTTCTCGTATGTCACAATCTTTCTTCTTATTTCCTACCACATATTATGAAGTACACGATGTCATTCGTCACCTGAACACAACAAGTGCGGGCCCTGATGGTATTCACCCAACCCACGTAAAAATGATTACTCATGTTGTTTCTGATATTTTGGCATCCATCATCAACCTAGCTTTCAAAACTGATAGTTGGATATCAGTTGGATATCCAACTATCGACTCATTTGCATAATACCATTTCTCAGTAATATATTCGAAAAATTGCTCGAAATTCGTCTGACGAAATACCTCAATAAGTTTCAAATTTTATCTCTTTCCCAATTTGGTTTTTGCGAAGCATATTCCACCAACCTCGCTTTGTTATCTTAAACTGAAACGTTGAAGAAAGCAATCGATGGAGGCTACTACGCAGGTTCCGTTTTTGTAGATTTCACCAAAGCATTCGACACTATCAACCACCACATTCTTTTTATGAAGCTTGAAGCAATAGGCGTAACTGGTCCAGCACTATAATTAATGAAAAACTACCTACTCAATAGAAGCCAAGTTGTCAGTCTGTCTGGTCATAATTCTATACCTAAAGTAACAAATATAGGAGTACCTCAAGGTTCTATTCTCGGCCTACTTCTTTTCATTATTTACATAAATGATTTGCCATCTTGCCTTGCCAGCTCAGAATGCTTATTGTATGCAGACGACACAACAATTGTGAACACTGGTAAATGCCTCCAATCTCTGACACAGAAACTAAATCATGACCTTTCAGGCTTGGCTGCGTGGTGTATCCATAATAAATTACAAATAAATCCCACCAAAACGAAATTCGTTGTTTTCCACTCTCGCCAACGTGAACATAATTATATCCCGCCAATATTCCTAAATAAATTCGCAATTGAAGCAGACGATGAGGCGACGTTCTAGGGAATTAGACTGGACCGTCATTTGAAATTTCAGTCGCATGTTGCATACCTGCGAAAAAAAATGGCTTACGGCATACATGTGTTCTAATTAAATCCCGTGATATATTTTCCAAACCCACATTACTTTCATTGTACTTTGTTTGGCTCACATGTACTCAGAAGCCTTGACTACCGATTTCAAGTGTTCTCTAACCATGCAGAAAACATTTTGCAAAGGCCCTTAAATGCTCTGACCATAGTTATCCATTTGAAATGAATAATGCAAGCACTTATGGCTTACGAAAGGCAACAGCATATTGCCTGGCACTGCATAATGTGTGCAAAGCTCCAGCTGGGTAGCGTCAGCAAAGGGTCAACGTTGCGTTGGTGCGGAGAACTCCCAAGATTGTGTGCAAAGTAAAAACCACAATATTGTGTGCAAAGTAAAAGCTGCTTCAGTAATGAAAAATCTCTATAAAGCAAAGCAGCGTCGAGCAAGATTGAGCCATTCTTGTCTCAATATTTTGAAACTGAAACTACTACCTGCTAAAACAGTAGTTCAGTGCTTCATTTTGACTATTAATTCATGGCAGCACAATTGTTTTTCTTAAAGTCAGAAATGCTTTGGGGGCTACTCATTAAAGGAAAGACATACCTGCCACCAATTCGGGTCCTCCTGATTCAGCACTTGTAAAATGTCACCTTGCTTGAAGGCTAGCCCAATTTCCTTACATGGCAGCAGAGTATCCTTTGATGGGTCATACGTGTACAGTGCTTTCACGAAGCACTAAAAATGTAACCACAGTTCACATATTTCAAAAAGTGTTTCTACATCCACACATACTTTAATGACAGTAAAATGGCACAGCATACAATTTACATTTATTAACACAAAAGCATGTAATATTTATAGAGAATATGCTCATCAGCGTAAGCTTGATGCTGAAATATCAAAAGTAATCAAAATCACACTCAATTTGTAATGCTTAAAATTCTGCCCAAAAATGGCACCAGTAATACAATGAATATTGTGGGAATCATGTGCACTGGCTTTCTCAATATAATTCTGCATGTGGTTTCCACAATGTTTATATACATTTCTGAGAACTGCGGCTGATGCATGAAACTAAAGTGCTGGTTAATGCAGCCTGAAGGATATCACTTGAAATTCTAATGATAAATTCAAGAATTTAGTTTTTGTACTTATTTATACTATAGTAAAACTATTCCATAAATGGGAATTTCAATAAAAGATTATAGTTACTCATTTTTTTTAAAAACATGCCGCAATGTAAGGTTAACAGAAGTTAAAAGCATACCTGAAATGTTGGAAGGCTGTCATGGTAAGAGGGAAGTATCTTGAATGCAACACTTCCTTGAGCCTTTTTCAGTTGCAGCTGTAGCTGTTCAGGTGTGTGGACTGGTATGCCATTCACTTCCAGAATTGTATCTCCAATATGCAGCAGTCCTAAAGTAAAATAATAAATTAGACAGAGCACAGAAGCAAATTGAGTCAATATGTATCAATAAATGGATCTGTAAAGATGTCCTTTCAAGTGAAGTGCTCAAGGATGTAAAAATTACGTGTTCTATTACAAATATATGTTTCACAATAAAAAAGTGCCATGACATTTTACCATTGTTATGCAGATGAAATTATCTAGACACAATATGAAATAAGCGTACATTTTCCATCTGGAAAAACTAACTTGTTCTATCATAAGCATATGAATCCAGACATTTCTAGATATAGGAAGTAACAATATCAAACAAAAGAGTGCAAACATTTAAAGATTGCACAAAGAAAACTTAGAGCACACTCAAGCTTTGGCTTCAAGAGTGCAATATGATAGCATTATCAAGATTGCCTTATAATTTGCTCGTCTTGCTTCGCTTCTTGGTCTACACCTACACGATGGTGTGAGGAAAGGAACGTCTGTGCATGTAACCACTGCAAACTCTCCTATGGTGCCTACTGCAATTACAGTTGAAAACTAGGAATTACATGTCTCTAAGTTAATATGTGCATTTGCGTTGTTCCAGACTTTATTAATGCTGTGACTAATGAAGATGATTATGGCACATTGTGGCTCAGCCCTTTGCAATGGTACCGAGCATTTATTCAGTAATTCACATCGTGTGACACATGGCGTGACTCTACGCTTTTGCCATTCAATATTTCACCGGCTAATGTGACCTCTTAGCCAACACGACTCTATAGAGCCTTTTTCCAAGGTGATTTCAAGCACCAACATGCCTCTGTCATGGAATAGCCAACTTAAATTCATAATACCTCAATTCAGCTCAAAACCTAATTTGCATTGTTTTCATCTACTCGAATTTCTCGCTGCCAAACGACATCACCGACCCAACTTTTCTTTATTTGGAAGCCGAGATCTTTACTGCTGTTTCCTGAAAATCAACAAAATATTTTGGGAAATGAAAGAATGCTAACCAATGTGGCTGATTCAGAACACTGAGGATTAATAAGAAACAGTACAAAACACTGTTACTATAAGTACGTTGTCTAAATAAGTATGTAAGCTCATTGTTAGAAATAAAGAAACAGCCATGTAGCAGGTAAAAGCTTGGTTTGTAGCACACACAGGCTCCCAAAATTCAATCTGGCATATTATCATCACATATACCATATTCCACTTCATTATGAATTTTCATCCAATAGCATTTGCATTATGAGCAGTATTCTCAACACAACTTAAGAAAGTGGGCTGTTGTACTATTAGAACAGCCCATTTAACATGTGAACTGAGAAGAGACCAAAAAGGTAACACATTTGATTTGATTTCAATTATTATCAGCTTGAAGCCCCAAAAGAATCACACAAAAAGCGTGGGGTAGTACTAACATGTAAGAGCATAGGCGTATCAGCCGGGGGGGCCGTTACTGAGAAAAGTTGGGGGGACTGGGCCTCCCCACTTTTGACAGTGGTCACTGTCAGCTGCACGCTGGGAAGACCAACAGTAATCGCTCAATCAACCGTATCACTCAATTATATTGTTACGAGGAAATAAAAATGTTACCAGGGATTGTTAAAATTTTTCCTAAATTTCTGCTGTGATGATTGTCCTTGAATTTTCTTTGCGATGCGGGCCACCTATGCGACTCTTTCTTGTACTGTAGCATTGCAAAGCGGGCTACAGTACAAGATGCGAAAGCGTCTTGTACTTGCTTTGTTATGGATGGGAACAAGCAATCATTTTATGGACTGGTCAGGGCATTTACTGATTCAGGAAAATTGTTTTCTTTCACCAAAAATGAATAGCGTCATTGCTGCTTTATCGAAGCCGCTGCGAGTCGATGATTGTGATGAATCTCTTCAAATGCTTTAGTTCTGCCGTACTAGAAGCACCACAAAAAGGTTTGTGCTTTAGTCTCTGATAAATCTGATCAGCCTTGCTTACGGTAAGTAAGAGCAATGGCAGCAGTTTGCAACGTGGTGAAGAATAAAGCAGTGGACACGAGTACAGTGGGCTCAGCTTCTCAGCTTACCCCGAAGTTTGAACCACAGGACCAGGAAGAAGGTGAAAGACCGTGTTTTTTTGCATGATGAAGGCCTATATAGGAGTCGGGCTAGTTAGTTTTCAGGGAACTTGATTTGTCTTTTACAGCTCAAAATACAACTTTGACAAAAAGAAGCACACACGTGCAGCGCTGCTTAGTTCTCTCTCTCTCAGCCAGGATGACCTCACAGAGATGTACTCGCGCACATACACTCCAAAAGGTTTTCCGGAGTAACACACACAAAAAACGCTATTTGCTCTTCCAAAAGACGAAATGTGCGCAAACGATTTCACACGGCACTGCAAAGAGGGGCACTTTTCTCCTTGTTGCATAAAGCACCCATTCTTCGGGGTAACTGCAGCAATGTTCGCGCCGTGTGCAAACGACTACTCAGCGCCTACACAAGCTTGTTTAATTAATCCCACCCAATTACACAGCGTGGTGTGGTGAAGTGGTTAGTATATGTGCATGCTGACTGAATGGTCGTGAGTTGAATGATTGATATGTGGGTTTAACGTCCCAAAACCACCATATGATCATGAGAGACGCCGTAGTTGAAGGCTCCGGAAATTCGGACCACCTGGGGTTCTTCAACGTGCACCCAAATATAAACACACGGGCCTAAAGCATTTTCGCCTAGAACGAAAATGCAGCCATCAAAAAGCTGATATATATATAAATATATATATTCTGACTAGTCAGGTCGCTTGTTTGCCCCCCCCCCCCCCCCCACTCTCGAAATAGTTGGTACGCCACTGTGTAAGAGTGTTTGTTAGATGTGTAAATACATTTCCTATAGTGAATCTACACCAAATGCAAATGAAGTCATTATAACAACAGCACTCAGAGTGTGAGTAGACACCTGCTTGTAAAGCATTATTTATCTATTACGCAGTATTGTAACGTAAGTCATTTTCCTGGCTCTCACCTTGTCTGTCGATGATACCACCAGCAAGGATGCGGGCAATGATCAAGTTATCATTCTCCACTCGTACCGTTATGCCCTAAAAGCATTTTACAAAATATCTTAGTCAAGAACACTTTCTGAATGTCATGGAAAACAAACCATAGGTGTAGCAAGAGCTCACCAGAGGCTCGTCATCATTCTTTCTGATCCCCACCATTCTGATAGTGTCATTCAGTGTTTCAGGTGTCATTGCTGGCACTTCTTTCTCCAGAGGCAGTGGCTTGGCAGGTTCGTAGCTTTTTGTAGCTACAGCATCATGGGCATTGAGCAAAGCCTGTGATTAAAAGAGAAAATACTGAGAGAATGGCAGGCAACTTGAAAATAAAAAAAGGCTCACAGCAAAATGTTTCCGATTAGAACTCACATTTATGCAACAGTGCCACAGACTACAATGAACCAGACTTGACTTTCATTACACAGATCTCATCAGAACATTGAAAAATACTTTCGATTTATCCTATGCAGAGAACAAACGAGTTGAAATTCACATTGAAAAATAATAGCTTTTATTCACGTAAAATAGTTAAGAGACCAGAGTAAGCATTAGCAGTGCTAATGGGCACTGTGCAGACAACTGAAACAGCTGTGACCACGTTTGTACAGTAGCTGTGCTACTATCCCAAGCCCAGTTAAGTTCATCATTACTATTACGCAAATATTGTATTCAGCTTGAAACAATTCTGGTTTGCAAGCTCTTTGAACCATAAAGTCAGCGAACTCACTCAGATTCACTCTGACTCAGATCAAGCCGCAAGTCTGAGCGAGTCTAAGTAATATTTGTGTAGAATTTTGGTATGAGTGGGTCCAGTATAAGGGGTAAAAGGGCGTGGTACAGAGCATGCATAAGGCATTGTAACGCACAGCTCATCATTCCCCAGTACAACCAAAAAAAATCTAGTTGTGAAAAATGTTATTGAGTCTAAGCTCTAATAGGTCAGGTTGAGAAATGTTTTGACAAGACTGAGTCAGAGTGAGCTCAAAGCATAAAATATATGTTGCAGGTGAGTCTGAGCGAGCAGCACATTTTTTGCCGGCCCATGATCTTATCTACTCCACTTTGGCATTAATATGACAGCTCATATTAATACTCACGTCTGCTGCAATGCGCTAACGTTCGTACACAAGCTCAACATGTACTCATCTCTCGATAAGTATTCATCAGAGGCATGAGTTACAAATGGGGCAAACTATTTCACGGAAGGTTCTTAATAAAAATATACTGTGACTCTTTCAATAAAAATGTGCTTCCTCGATTGAAATGTATTGTTCAACTCATATTTTAAGGTATGAGATCGAACGGTGCCAAGTAGAGATATTGATGTTGAAGAGCATTGACAACATGACAAAAAAAGTGAATTATAGATTAATGGACTCACGAGTTCACTCTCTCAGACTCCCCAAGACTCGAATCGAGCCATGAGTTTCAGTCCTAGACAGCCTGAATGTGCAAGATTTTGGCGAGTTTGAGTCTGAGAGAGTTCCCTTGAGGGTAATTTTCTCAAGTCTGACCGAGTCCATGTGACTCCATAGGGCAAAACACACTTCATGAGCGAGTCTGAGTGAGCTCCACATTTTTTGACTGCATATGCTTGCAACCCACATTATCTGACACAATCGATGAGGATGAAGATAATGAGCAGGATGGCGCAGTTTTCACCTCCTAGAATAAAGGTTGTTACTTCATAACACGTGCATGTGTGTGGCTGCCAGTGACACTCCAGTATAAAAGCAAAAGCAATTTGTCAATATGCAGTTCTTTTTTTTTACGATGTCACAGTCATAATTCAGAATAGCTAATCACAGTAACACTACAAATGAACCTTTCAAAACACCAAAGAGTACTTCTGTTATAGAAATACAAATTGTCATACTGAGAAGTGAGGACCACTAAGGATGCTGGCAAGTTCTTGGGTTTCACGACTAGTCACCCGTCGGCAAGCCTGGCAGACTTCCCGCAGAAGTTCTACATTGTTTGTAGAAACAGGCTTGAACGTTGTAGTTTTCTCCTCGAGGTGATCTTGAACCTATTAGCCAAAAATAGAACAGTGAGTGAAGTCATTCGTGTCACACAGCAATACCAGCTGAGATGCAAATGTTTTTATCTGAGCCTTAGTAACTTTTCAGATCAGAACATTATTTAAGATGCATCTATGTCAGCACTTTGAATCAAAATCCTGCCAGACAATCAGCGCTGTAAGTGAACTATTACACTACACTTTACCATTATTGCTGAACACTACTAATATACCTGCTTCTACGGTGAAGATTGATAATAGTAGTCAAACAAAATAGTTGACTAACACAGAAAAACATTCTTAATTGGCCCACAAGGTGCTTTCTTCAAAACAAAATATAAGTTATTTCAATAGGAGCTTCTTAAAATAAATTTTATACCTGTTACAGCTAGACATTTTTTGTGTCAAAACTAAGAAATACTAGAACAGTAGTGATACCTATTGCAACGGCAAGATGGAGCATAATATACGTCCCACTATTTTTTGGTATTTTGGCATTCAGGACGGCTAAACTTATTTCAGTCAAATTACGGCAATCAGTAAAACCAGTCAAATCTTTGCAATCAGTTGGCTGGTTCTACTGTTCTACTGTTTACTGTTGTCAGGAACATCTTGCAAAATATATGCATGCTGAGAAATATAGTTTAATCTATTATTATTATTATTATTATTATTATTATTATTATTATTATTACTATTATTATTATTATTATTATTATTATTATTCATAGACTATTTTATGACTCAAGGAAAAAACAGACACAGCACAAAGAGTACGAGGATGAAGTGAAGAAATTAAGTGAAACACACGGGCACCCCTGTCGATCAGTTCATTTCTTCACTTCGTCCCTATACTCTTTGCGTCGTGTCTGTTTTTTCATTAGGTTTGAACCAACTAGCTTTGCAACAAGCCCTGTTGATTTATTTTATCTCAACTGTAGAACAAAGGCTTATCCTCCACTTCACCACATTATTTTAGAGCTCATTCTATTTATCCCAGCAAAACTTAATTTCGTCCCTGCACCTAACTTGCTGCTGTCCTCAGCTCCTTTTGCCATCTCTTGGTATCCATTCCTTTCCTTTAACTGACCACCGTCTGTCTGTCTTATGCATTATGTAGCAGATCCGCGTCATTTTTTTTTTCTTAATATCAACTTGAATATTATGTTATCCATTTGCTGTCTGTTGATGTTGTACTTACCTTCCATTCTACTGTTTGCATCATAGCATAGTTCTTAACTTTTCTTAAGTTCCTTTATTAAGTGAAGTTTCAACCTCATATGTTAGAACTAGAAGTATGCAATGATTCCATACTTTATGTTTCTAGAACAGCGGCAGATTGCCTGTTGTGATTTGGTGATGCCTACCATATGTGCTCCAAGCCTATTCTTATCCTTCAGTGCATCCTCCCTTTATGAGTAGGTGAGTAGGCCCCCATATTAGTAAATGACCTTACTGGTCTTGTAAAGACTTCAAAGAATGGTCCCCAAGCGTAAATTATTGTACTTTTGCGAGGCTGTTAATGAATATTTTTTTCTTCAGCATATTCATTTTTAGCCTTTCTTTATAAATTTCGGCTTGTCTGCAATCATTTCTTGCAACTATAAATTGTATATAATATATTCTGGGCTTGAACACCAAGAAACGGTCGAAACTGTAAGTTAGGAATAAACATTTATTTCCTACCCATTAATCCTCTACATAACTTAGTCATCAATGACTTACACCTATCAACCTTGCCTATCAATAGCTGGGGAGTATCTAGCAGTGTACACCCCTATTACGTGAGCGGCATATGCGATGACTATGTGCATGCCAACTCAGCAAAACCACCCGAAATGTTCTAGACCATAAACCCTAATTAATAAAAGACATGCACTATTTACAAACACTGGAAGCCATTACTGAACACATCAATGAATCTATCCCACAAACTCATGTCTTGTCGAGGTGTAAGTGTGATCAACCAAACGAGGTGGGGTCCTCCCCTATCACTGCCAGCAGAGACAAGGCACCTGTTTTGGCTGTGAAAAAAATCAACAAAAAATGTATGGCATCACCGGGACCTTCCCAAGCAACCACCACACGTAACTGGATTCTGCAACTTCCCCGAAGAGCTCCAGGAAATCGAGCCGATCGGCAGCCACTGAAGAAAATTTCAAGATCGAAGGCTCAAGACACCCGACATTTGCAACCTAACGAAAAGACTCTTCTGTCTTCCTTTTCTTTTAAAAAAACATTGTCTTTTCATTTACCTTCTTTTTTCTCCCTTTTCTCATTTTATATTTTCTTCTTCCCCTTTTCTTTATCATGAAAATTATTTTGGCTTTTGCCTTATTCATGTATTCATTTATTTATTGGTACATCCATTATATGGGCCAGAGTACCTTTCAATTATTTATCTTTTTTTAACACCACAATAAATGTATTTATGTACCCCACCACAGCACTTGTGATTAGGGTCAATGTAGCTCATGTCTATAAGGCTCAAGTACTAAGACAAAACTTAACAGGAGCTGTGTTTTAACGAATCATGTCAAAATGTAAAATACCTTTCTCATGCTAACGAAGATGAACCAACTGAAAAAAATGTGCCAAATGTGTGTTCTTCAAGAATCATCATCTTAGTAACTGAGTCACGGTTATACCATTATGAGCCTGTCTGAGTGGGTGTATATATGTATATACCACCCCCCCCCTCCCGACACACACACACACACACTTATAATATTATTTAAATATTAAACATAGAGAATGACTGCACCTGCACCAAACAGGTCATAACAGGTGATTCCATGAGACCCTTGAGAAAGATGAGGTCAGTGTCTCGAGCACCGACACGCCCATTGAGGTCCTCAATGTTCTCCCTGACATGCTGAAATGCAGCTGAAAAAGAAAAAGATGGCCTTTGAAAACAAGAACACGAGATACTCGAAGATCACCAAAGGGAAGGTTGCCACAAAATTTATTATTCATTGCTGCGTGATTGATTGGCTGATTGATTGAATTTTACAGGTTTATCAGAATACTCGTAATCGGAGACAAAGGAAAAAACCATTCAAGAATGGCTTGAGGGGAGTCCACCTCCGTACAGGCAAAGACAACAGCTGAGGTACAAGTGTTCTGCTCATACTGAATTGGTACATACACTTTACGATAAACCACCTTAAACACAACATGCATAAACCATCAAAATGCACATCATTAGTCTTACCATACACAAAGCATCATGCATTTTCATACCTTGTATTCATATCAGTACAAAACTTCATCACAACTTTAGCAGAACAATGAACTGAAAACCAAGTTTCTTTTGACAAGCAGGGTTCCTATGGTATATCAATTTTCGATGGTACAGTTCGTCATTGGAAACTAGCATATTTCATTAAGAGGTACATTGACATACAAATTAAGTTGCCCGTTACGGGGAGGTGGGGCGGACATGTGCGCGCTCGCCCCCATTTTCCCGAACGCATGCCCTCGCAGCCCATATGGCTGCTTTTTGTTTTAGTCAAGGTATGTACATGTGCTATACTGAAATAAACCAGACATAAGTACACTTCGACGCCAGATTTTATTATTACGATGCCGGTGTGACCGGTCAGTTCCCTTCCAATGCCCTGTAAAAAAACAGGGGGTAGGGGGGGGTGCTAGGTAAAACTACGTAAGATATATTGATAATTGAGTTTCACGGTAGCCCTAAATAGTTTGCTGTAACTCTTGTTCAGGTACACAAAGAAACGTGAATGGCAAGCATTCGGTACTCGGTTCTCTCTCGACAGTGCTGCATAACCCAACGCTTCATGTGACACTGAACAGGAACATTACCCTCCGATTTCACCACGTCGGACGCAAGAAAAGAAGAGCGATAAACAAGAGAGGCGGCAAAGTTCGCAGTGTTTTGAGAAGGATCGGTTATCGGCTTATCGCACTTGCTCGCCATGACGTCACTGGCAGCGTCTGCTGGTGTGCGTTGGAACTACTGCGCATTCTGAAAGAATTGATTGATATGATTGATATGTGGGGTTTAACGTCCCAAAACCACTATATGATTATGAGAGACGCCGTAGTGGAGGGCTCAGGAAATTTAGACCACCTGGGGTTCTTTAACGTGCGCCCAAATCTGAGCACACGGGCCTACAACATTTCCGCCTCCATCGGAAATGCAGCCGCCGCAGCCGGGATTCGAACCCGCGCCCTGCGGGTCAGCAGCCGAGTACCTTAGCCACTAGACCACCGCGGCGGGGCCATTCTAAAAGAAGTAAATCCTTCAACCCATAAAGCTTCAAAACATATATTTTTTTTTTTTTGAACCAGCATGTTTCAGACACGACGAAGCATCTTGAAATGCAAGACGTAGCACTGACGCATCGGCACCGAGTTTCTTCAGCGCGAAATTCAAGAATGAACTGCCTATTTTTCCGTCAAATTAAATGACACCTTTAATTTAAGATATAGTTTACCAGTTCAAAATTATCTACGGTTGTTTCTTATTGTTCCTTTAATGCCGTTTGATTACTACCTTCAGTCCTTGCAGGCGCAGCTGATCAGCGGGCTGTCCGGCAACGCTAGCGGTAGCTGATAAGCGTTTCACCGTCTGCGGCAGGCGTGTTCGCCCTTGCTACAGAAACGCAGTACGATGCACGCCCACAGGCAATCACTTGGCGGCGAAAGCATCGATGCTGTCTCCTGACATTTGAAAGCAGAACATCGGATACAGTCGTTCACGCGAGAAATGATGTCAACAGCGCTTTCGACACGTACGGCGAAACGAAACGATAGTAAGAAAACTGACGATGAAGACGACACGAAGACGAGCACTCGTCTTCGCGTCTTCTTTGCCATCGATGTTTCGTGTCTTTTCCTTGCGCTGGGGCGGCTACACATTCTAGCCACCCTTGTAGCGCCGTTTCATAACCATGATGTATACCTGTTGCGTGTGCACCGACTAAGCAGTGGCGTTCGGCATAACCTACGCTGACCAAGGCATGCACTGAGTGGGGAAGTGGTTATAAGAGGGAAAAGAAGAGAAAATTGAGCCCCGTAACTGTCTGCATCAGGGTGCGACACCTCAACAGTAGCTCACAGGTGATGGGGGTGAGGAGGGATTAAAAGGATAGAATTAAAGATATATATATAGAGAGAGATACGCTGGGACAACGAGCGAGGACATATTGAGGGATAGGGGAGATAGGAAAGATGGAAACACGGTCACAGGAGTCCGAGGACGGGGCACCACTTGCGAGAGCTCTTGTCGGCGTCAGGAGATGGCGTAGGGCAAGTCCAGTAGGTCAGAGCTACGCTGTCATCGGAGATCATGAAGCGTCAGAAGATGACGTAGGGCCAGCCCAGTCGGCTGGAGCTACACCGACGTCGGAGATCGCGAGGGCACAACCGGTTGGCACGGAATCCAGCGAGCTACATGAAGCTTAATTTGGTATGCATGCATCTGCCAAGTGTTGCTGAGTGCACGTATATAGTCAGTGGCGAAACCAGAATTTTTCTCTTTTTTTAAGGTGGAGGGGAGGGCGAAGGGTTTTAACTATACTTTATGTACCACACTCCTAGATACACCATTAAACGTAGTACATTTATTTCTGAACACATTACGAATAAAATTGCGCTACGGATGACGCAGGCACTTACGATGCGGTTTTCGCTCAGTGACTGATTCGCCAGGTAGTACAACGGGAGTCTATGCCTACAACACGTCGACTAATACCACCAACACCACCAGGTGGTGTTGCGACTACTGATCGACATCGCTCGTTGACATGCAAGACCACCATTACCAACAACGTTTAGTTGAGTCGACATCTGTAACGGCCCTATGGCAAATTGAGTTTTCACACACATCATTTGCGTGTAATCTGGACAGCTGTTATCGCTCGGTAGCGAATTCTAATTAAACGTGCAGCATTGTTTGAACTAATGGCTTGAAGAATGTCCCAGATTTAAACAAAAATCTCGTGAAAATTGGGAAAGCCGGTGGTTCAGACTCGAAGAGCTAAGTGTGCGGTCGTCCGTATACCGATCATCTCCGTGGTTTCCCCGAGCAACTGAGGCTATGAGAGACGCCGTAGCCAAAAGCTCCGAATAGTTTCGACCGCCTGGGATCCTTTGAAGTGCACTGAAATCGCAGAGTACACGGGCCTCTAGCTTGTCGCATCCATCGAAATGAGAATGCCGCGATCGAAACCGCATGTTTCGAGTCAGCAGTCAAGTATTTACCGCAAACAATACAGTGGCGGCTTGATCCCTTTGATGATGTTTCCACGTTATCGTCATTATTTATCGGCAGCTCGTGCGTCCAATAGCTATAGAATTTCTAAAAATACTTGCCATTACTCATTCACTTCGAGGACAAAGATAAGCACTGGAGAACATGAATTTAGATAATTTCTGTTAGATAGCTCATCAATATGCACTCAGATTTTTACGCATATACAATTTAACATAGGCGTCGTAACCGGATTGTAGGCAAAGGGAGTGGGTCAAAACATTTTTGCCACTTTTTCCAAATAAAATCCTCATTACGGCTTTTCAATTTAGGATCTATGCAACTGAGTAAACGGCAAGATATTCTAGCTACGCAGCCTATTCTGCAATTTTCTAACCGATCTGCTGCTTGTTACTAGAAATCTTTGTTTGAACCTACATGTAGTGAAGGCGTCCGAAAGTGCACAGAATTATGCACTTCATACAGCTCCACCGGTGCTACCACACTACATATACAATGCCACATTTATAAATGTCATCAAAAAGCAACAGTGCTTTTTTCTGCTCTGAGCCATGAAACAAAATTGGGCTTCAATCACCATACTTGCCTTATACATTCAGAATCAAATCTTCGCCAAATGCAACATAATGACAACTGTACACCACAACAAGTCATTAGTTATTTTTTTTCTCTCATCTGCCAGGAATACGCGGCCCTGGTTCACAACACAAAAGAATTGCACGCAGTCGCCATCACTGACAAATAACCTCGAAGCACATCGTTATGCCATGGACAATAAGAACTCAGCGATGCATAACTTCAAACGTATTCGCGAAGGCGACACTGGTATACGTCAAATGCTACAAGCAAGCAAAAAAAAATGAAAATAATACCATAATTCACAGTAAATTTTATATTCAGTTTTGCAAAGCAGATTATAAATTTACTCAGTCGTCGCCAACACATACTGTACTTACCTAGCACACACACACAAAAAAAAAACACGGTCAGAGAAAGGCGTCAGACGCTTTTTTTTTATCTCTCTGTCAGTGCTTTTTCCGTGCGTTAGAAAACTACAGTATGACGCACCAACGTCAAAAACACTACGTTACTAAGCCAAAACATATCAACGGGCACCAGCAACATGTAAACATCACTTTTTTTTGCATGTTGCAAATGAACGGACATTCACGTCAGAAGCTTAACTACAAGCGTAGACCCTCAATGAGAGTACTGTAGAACTACTATATAAGTTAAGGCAGAAATGTTATCCTCCCTAAACGATCAACGGGACCGCCAATACTGGGTAAAGAGAGGTCGACTACACAGACAAAATTTGTCTTGTTTTTATTCCTACATAATTGTTGTTATTATTGCAAGCTGTATATCTGAATAAATCCCTGCCAGCTCTTGCTAAACAGAATACACCGATGAAATCGGGCATACTCATACAATGGGACGGAAAAGAAACCAAACAACTAAAGTTGGTATTTTATACCAACATTTCAACCAAAGCAGGAAAACGCGGGGATATCATAAACATAAGAAAACAAAAAAAAAATTGGTACTTCTAAGGTTAGCATACATATTTAGGTAAATAATGTCGTAAGCTGGGCGAGTTTTATATCAGGTTAACAGATTTGAACGTCGAAAGAATTTAATGTCG